AAAATAAAGAAATAAATACAAATAATTAAAAACATAAATGAATAAATAAATAACTCTGATTTGCCAAAAAGGCCTAAAAATACCAAAAACTTCCATGATGCTGAGTTCAAAAGTATCATTAAGAGAAAAAGGATGAAGATTTTTCAATATACTGTATATATAAATGTATCAGCTTTAATGCATGTATAAAAAAAGCTGTTAAATGTCAATAGTTTTTATGACAAAAAATAGTATTCATAATCTATCATTTAACTTAGTCTACAAAGTAGTGGAAAAGTAGAAATCAGAATTAGGCATCAAATAAAATGTGCAAACATTATGAAATGCACATATTTAGTGAGAAAGTGTGACATGAACGAGAAAAACACTATTTTTGCAACCAGCTGCACTAAATTAGTAAAAAAAAAACGAGTATTGGGTTCATTTACAGTTACATTTATTCGCTCAGCAGATGCTTTTATCCAGAGCGACTTACAAATTCAGCAAAAATGCAGGGCTGTATTATTATATCATAATCTAGAAGGTAATATGAACTATATTCAGTCATCACTTCGGTGTAAAACGTATTGTTAAAGTGAAATGAAAAGCTATGTGTATTTAAACACTAAAAGCTTTAAAGATGAGCTCAAGACTTGTTCCAGTCCTGCTCCGCTCTCCTCTCTTCTGCAGTGTATTACGTACAGTACGTCATAAGTTCATTCTTGTAAATGTTTTGTTTGTAAATTGTAGCTTTGTGACTTTCCGTCCACTAATTCTGGCTTTATTTCTCATATGTCAGTGTAATTTCTTGTTATTTGGACTGTCACGAGAGTCTGCTTATTCACAGGATCACAATCCGCTCTTGTTTATTCCAACCAAAATCACTTCAGGACCGTAATTATGACTTACAAACTCATACGAGCGGCTTCTAGCAGAACGCTTCTTCTGATGTATAACGTCTATAGTTAGTGATCTGTGATGATTTATTTGCTTGTTTTTATTCAATCAGCGAGCTCTATAGAATTAATGAGTATGCCAGTACAGTTATTCATATCACATTCGGTCAGATCACCTGGTTTGCAGACACTTTTTGATTATTTATGTTCTGCGCGAGCATCTGGTCTTCAGACGAACCTCAATAACAGGAACCGACTGCCTCTAGATTGGCCCATTTTCCCATTAAAATCCCATTTGCTTAACTCCACTTCCTGTACACAGATGACATAATTTCCCTTAGATGTGGACAACGGCACCGTCACATTCACATGTGCTCAGTGATCGCAAGAAAACTCACTACATCATGTGTTTTTATTCATTTTTACTTTAGTTTATACTGAGCCTGATCCAGCAGGTGACTGCTTCAAATGCACAGAAAAAGAATTTGTAACAATTTATATATAATTTATAATTATAAGATAAAATATAAAACAGTGAAAAAAAATCCATTATCACAAAGACAAAAATTTATTATTTATTTAAAATAAATAAATAATTAAAAACAATACTACATGCCGGTTCACCTTCAATTCAAATGCAGTGTTGTTGTTAATTAAAACAACTACAAATCATTATTGTTAATCAAAATTAAGCTGAAATAAAATAAAGTAAAATATAAATATTAGATTAAAAAATTTAAACTTAAAAAACTAAAAATACTACATATTACTCAAACTGAAATTAAATTAAAACTACATTTAATTCAGTTAATTAAAACAAAAGCTAATAAAATGACTGAAGCACTTGGTATCATTGAAATATTATAGTTTTTATTATATTTTCATTTTTAGATTTTCTATATATGTTATTGTATATATTTTATAGTTTTAGTAAAATTGTTGTAGATTTTTGTTTGCTTTTTAATAAATGTCTGTATGTTTATATAGTTACACATTTTTCTTATTAATTTTTATTTTAGTTTTAGTTATTCTAGTGCATCTTTAAACTAAATGAACTAGCTGAAATAAAATAAGTTTAAAGTTAATTTTATTTTATTTTACTTCAGTTAAAGGTTATTTTATTTCATGCAATGGAAATATAAATTTTAGTTAACAATAATAGCTCTGAAAATCACTAAAATAATTGAAAATTATTAATAAAAATTATAACTAAAAATAACTGAAAATATAAAAATGAAAGCTAATACTATAGAATATAAACAATACTACATGTTATTTAATATTATATAATTAAGTGATCTTTATAAATATTGTAAAAGTGCATCATATGTGACCCTGGAGCACAAAAGCAGTCTTAAGAACTTTAAAGATGATTTTCTCAATATTTAGATTTTTTTGCTCCCTCAGATTCCAGATTTTCAAATAGTTGTATCTCAGCCAAATATTGTCCAATCCTAACAAACCATACATGTTAATGGAAAGCTTATTTATTCATCTTTCAGATGATACATACATCTCAATTTAAAAAAATTTACCCTTATGACTGTTTTGTACTCTAGGGTCACATTTGTGTTTTCTGAGTGTGTGCTGTCGTTCTCTGTGTTCAGACCCGTCTCCTCCTCCAGCCCCGTCTGGACTGAGCGTGTCTAACATCACGGTGGGACCCGACGGTCTGCTGACGGTCCGGATCAGCTGGACTCTCCCCGCAGAGCCTGATCTCCCCGTCCATCACTACAAGATCTACTGGAGCTGGACGATCCCGGGGAAATCACTCGTCCCGTCCCGGAGGAAGAGGAGGAAGACCAGCGACGGGGTGAGAGCCGCTTTCACAAAACACTGAGAGAAACACAGAGAGACGGAGATTCATCCTGTGAACTGTTTAAATCACACAGCAGGCCTTTCATTACGTCCTGTGGGGGAAATTTGAGTTTATTTATAAGATTATGAATTTACACGAGCAGTCAGACATCATTCAGTCAGAGACTCTGAACATGATTAACCCTTTACTGTTCCTGGAACCAAGATATAATATTTATATCTAGTGGCTACATGGCAAATGCTGCAAAAGATATACAAAAAATACTGCCTATTATTAATTAATTCAATTTTTTAGCCACTGTGTATATAATAGTTACATCACACACTGCATTCATTGAAATAATATGCAATATTTTTAGTATTAATTTTATATTTGCATTTATTGTTGTAGATACTATATTTCCAATTAATTTAATTTATAGCCACTGAGTATTACAGTAGTGTGCAATATAAATATTTTTAAAATATATATTTATATATTTTTTACATATAATATTTGTGCATTCTATAGAAGTGTATTTATAAGAGCATTTTCAGACATAATTACTTTTATTAAGTTTTGCATTTGTATATATATTTTGAAATGATCAAACACTACTTTATCATGGCTGATTTGCTGATTGTACCCCAAAAATTGCTCTGTATTTTCATATTTCTTAATAATGGTGGTCATTTTAACCGCAAGTGTTTTTAAGACATTTTCTAATCATGTCCACAATTTTTGTACGGTTCATATAGCAAGTGTCACGAAAATCATCAAGTTTCGTACCATTGCAATAAAGTATAAAATGTAAAAAAAATTAAAAGCAGCATTTTTGGGTGTAATCTGTCCGAAGCCCAGCGGTGGGTTAAAGGAACACAGCAGAAGCGATCTGATGACATGCTGAAGTGCTGCTGCTACTGAAGCTCCTGTAGATTGAGAGCAAACCCTGCAGCGACTGTGTTCATAACGCCGACACTCGATCGCTCTGTTGACACGCAGCCGCAGCTCCTCGGGGTTTGGTTAGTGACCCGCTGCTGCTGGAATGCCCAAACTAACCCGCTCAATAACCCGTCTAACCGAGCTCACGCTGCGGGAGGAATGCAGGAGTCTGATCAGCTGAGAAACGCTCATCGTGTCCACATGTGTTCCTGATATACGGCTCGTGTTTGTTTGGAGTTCAGCAGTCATTCTGAGGTCTGAACGCACTTCCAGAATCAGCAGCACATCACGGCCCTTTAACAGCAAAGTCTGTTATTCTGTCAAGTCTTATAAGCCAGCAATAAACCCAAAGAAATCAAATGAGATCACAAGAAATTCTCATTTATCTCTAGATTATTCACAAAAAACTTATTTGTAAATGTATTGCTATGAATTGTATTTGTTATACGTTTCATTAAAATTAATGTCACTTGCCAAGTGTCAAATATTTTATATATTAAATATAGGTGAATATATAGTAAATATTTGTCTAATACATTATATATTAAATATATGCCAAATATGTTAAATGTGTGTGTGTGTGTGTGTGTG